ACAGCTGAACTCTGAACTCTATCACTCTGACTTCAAAAGCTATGTATTTAAACTTCTTTTTAAGAACCCCCTTACTTTGTTCAATTCTCCATTAATTCTTCTTCTTCTTCTTCTTTTTTTTTGTACTGGGGATTGCACCCAGGGGTGCTTAATCACTGAGCCACATTCCCAGTCCTTTTATATTTTATTTAGACACAGAGACTTACTAAGTTTCTTAGGACCTCACTAAGTTGCTGAGGCTGGCTTTGAACTTTATCCTCCTGCCTCAGCCTCCCCAACTACTGGGATTACAAGCGTGTGCCATCATGCCTGGCCAAAAATCCTTTTAAAGCTACATTTTCTTTTTTAGAGAATGTCACCTTTATCTTTCTTTCAGGCAAAGTCCCCAATATCTGTCACTTTTTGTGAGAAGGTATCTGACTTATGAGAGGCCAGAACAGGGTCAGTAGGGCACGAAGAAGGAAGAAGTGATCTGAAAGGAAAGATCTTATGCAGAAATCAGAGTCTAGGATGAACCAGAAATCAGACCCCAGGCCAGGCCCCCTACCTCTACAACTTAGTCTCCAACAGCAAACAGCCAGGGAAGAACAAGGACAGAACTGATACTCAGAGAAGTGTCTTGCTTTCTGGTAGCCACGGCTAGTCTTCCTTGTAAAGTTCACTTCCCCCCAGGAAAATTAAGGCACATTTTATCAAGCTGACTTCTGCTGTGCTAACCCTCACCTGGAAGAGAAGACAGGGAGAGCATCCACTCTAGGGGACAAAGAATGTCCCAGAGAGAAGGTCCTGGGGAAGGTAGGCCAGTAAGGATCAGTTGGGCATATGGTAGCAAAGAGCCCTCACCAGAGACTGGGACTCTCTTTAAGGAGAGGTCTGAGGGATGATGGCGTTCTCAGTGTCATCACCAGGGCTCTGTAGCTCTCCTTCAGTGACTTGGGTCACCTTCTGTCCTAACTGCATTTCCTCTGCTAACCTTATAATGACTTACCTCCTTGTCTGCCTTCACCATTCAGCTTCTTTGAGGTAAAACCCCACAACCAAGCACATGGAGAGGGGGCCCATCTTGAGGACATGGCAAGCCTGCTTCCTTGTGTCTGATTTTAAGTCATATCCTGCTCCAACCAGGTGCTCAGAGCCCTGTGCAGCCCCAAGGCCTGAGCTCCACCCTAATCCCTGAACTTCAGCAATCCCTTTCAGAAGTTGGCCACAAGCCCACTGCTCCCCTGTCTCCCTTGTCAGTTAGGATGACGCTGGAATTCCTGGGTTCTTACACCAGGCCTGCTCTTCCCATCTCTGTTACCTACTGCCCTATGGACACAGGAACAAAGCCTCAGCCACTGTTTAGGGCAGAGGGTACCCTGATAGGATCTGAGTCCCCAAAGAAAGAGGGAAGTGACAAATATCATTTATCCTCTGTCATATGCCAAGCAAAGAAATAGGCTTGGCACATGTTATCTTGTTTAATTGGTTTCCTCATCCTGAGGCGCTTTTTTAAAAAAAAAATTTTTAGTTGTAATTGGACACAATACTTGTATTTTATTTATTTTTTTATGTGGTGTTGAGGATCAAACCCGGCGCCTCACACATGCTAGAAGAGCGCTGTACTACTGAGCCATAACCCCAGCCCTCATCCTGACGCTTTATTAAAAATATTTTTTTTAGTTGGAGATGGACACAATACTTTTATTTATTTATTTCTGTGTGGTGCTGAAGATCAAACCCAGTGCCTCACACGTGCCAGGTAAGTGCTCTACCACTGAGCCACAACACCAATCTGACACTTTTGATCTAATATTATTCACAGGAAACCTATGTGATGTTTCCAAAATACCACAGGGCTCATTTTGCTGTCCTCCTAAAATTTCTGCAAAGATCAAGTCCCTGCTGTCATCAGGATAATTAAAAAAAAAAAGTCCTTTAACTTGCTTCTAAGGGTCTGATGGGTCCTTTCTATGATTTTTTTTAATGTTTATATATTTATTTTATATATTTATTTTTGGTACTGGGGGTTGAACTCAGGGGTACTTTACCAGTGAGCAACATCCCCAGCAACTCCCCCCAACCTTTATTTATTTATTTTTGAGGCAGGGTCTTGCTAAGTGAGTTAGGACCTCACTAAGTTGGTAAGGCTGGTTTTGAACTTTCAATCTTCCTGCCTTAGTCTCCTGAGTCAGTGGGATTACAGGGCTGTAATTACAGGTGTGTAATTGTCCAGGTATAAATGCCTGGCTTTTTTTTTTTTTTTGAGTAATTATTTTATTGAAATATAATTAATGGGCTGGGTTTGTAGTTCAGTGGTAGAGCGCTTGCCTTGCATGCATGAGGCCCTGGGTTCGGTCCCCAGCACCACATAAAAAAAATAAATAAAAATAAAGGTAAAAAGAAATATAATTCACATACCGTAAAATTCATTCTTTTTATTTATTTATTTATTTATTTGAGAGAGAGAGAGAGAGAGAGAGGGAATTTTAATATTTATTTTTTATTTTTTTCCGGTGGACACAACATCTTTGTTTGTATGTGGTGCTGAGGATTGAACCCGGGCCACACGCATGCCAGGCAAGCGTGCTACCACTTGAGCCACATCCCCAGCCCCAAATTCATTCTTTTTAAAGTACACAAGTCAATGTGTTTTTTTTTAGCTTATTAACAGAGTTGTACAAGCATTCACAATGCTAGAACATTTTAACTACACCAAAAAGAAACCCTGTATTAATTACCAGTCATTCCCATTCCAACCTTTTTCTAGCCCCTGGGCACTAATCTGCTTTATTTCTATGGATTTTTGTATTCTGAACATTTCATATAAACAAATCCTGTAGCACGTGGCTTTTTGAGACTGGTTTCTTTCACCTAGCAGGATGTCTTTAAGGCTCGTACACATTGCAGCACGTATCTGTACTCCATTCCTTTTTGTTGGCAAATAATATTTTATTTTATGGATGTACCACATCTTTGTTATCTTCCATCAGCTGATAGTCCCGTGTATTGGGTTATTATGTTATGAACATTTGTGTAGAAGTCATGAATGTTGGTTTTCATTTTCTTGAGTAGAAGCCTAGGAGTGAAATTGATGAATCATATTGCCACTCTTGCTTAACATTTTGAGGAACTGCTAAACATTTTTCCAAAGCATTATACCAGAAATGTATGATGGTGCCCATCCTCACCAGCACTTTTTGTGTGTATGTGGCATTGGGATTGAACCCAGGGACTCTACACTGAGCTACATCCCCAACCCTGATTTTTTATTTTGAGATAACATCTCCCTAAATTCCCCACTCTGGCCTCAAACTTGTGATCCTCCTGCCTCAGCCTCCCAAGTTGCTGGGATTACAGGTGTACATCACCAAGACCATCTTTTTTTTTTTTTTTAATTTTTATTAAAAAAAAATTTTAGTGGTTGATGGGCTTTTATTTTTATTTTACTGTTGAGAATTGAACCTCTCACATGCTAGGTGAGCACTCTATCACTGAGCCATAACCCCAGCTCCATCACCTTGTTTTTCTTTTTCTTTTTTTTTTTTTTTGATTTTTAAAAATTTATTTTGCATTACAATTCTTCATACACCATTATACAATGATTTATCATATCTCTGATTATATATAAGGTACGTTGACACCAAATTCACATCTTTATACATGTATTTTGTATAGTGATAAAGGTCTCCTTTCACCATCCATGCTATTCCCCTCTCCCTCCCTTTCCCTCCCACCCCTATTCCCTATCTAGAGGTAATCTTCCTCCCTTGCTCTCCTTTCCAACCCCATTTTGAGTCACCCCCCTTATATCAGAAAAGACATTTGGCATTTTTGGAGGATTGGCCAACTTCACTTAGCATAATCTGCTCTAATGCCATCCATTTCTCTGCAAATGCCATGATCTTATTATTTTTTATTGCTGAGTAATATTCCATTGTGTATAAATGCCACATTTTTTTTTATCCATTCATTCACTGAAGGACATCTAGGTTGGCTCCACAGTTTAGCTATTGTGAATTGTGCTGCTATAAACATCGATGTGGCTGTGTCCCTGTAATATGCTGTTTTTGGGTCCTTTGGGTATAGTCCCGAGAAGAGGAACAGCTGGGTCAAATGGTGGTTCCATTCCCAGTTTTCCAAGGAATCTCCATACTGCTTTCCAAATTGGCTGCACCAATTTGCAGACCCACCAGCAGTGTATGAGTGCGCCTTTTTCCCTGCATCCTCGCCAACACTTATTGTTGTCTTCATAATGGCTGCCACTCTTACTGGAGTGAGATGGTATCTTAGGGTAGTTTTAATTTACCTTGTTTTTCAATTATAGCCATCATGATGAGTATTAGTAGAATTTCATTTTTGTTGTTTTTTGGGGGGCAGGTTGGAGGGAGTTTTGGTACTGGACATTGAACCTAGGGACACTCTACCACTGAATTAGATCCCTAGCCCCCTCCCCCGCTTTAATATTTTTTGGTTGTTAAGTGATCACAATACCTTTATTTTTATGTGGTGCTGAGGATTGAACCCAGTGCCTCACACAGGAGAGGTGAGTGCTCTACCACTGAGTCACAACCTTAGCACCAGATCCTCATTTCTTTTTAATTTCTATTTTGAGACAGGGTCTCCCTAAATTGCTGAGACTGGCCTCAGCTTGTTATCCTTCTGCCTCAGCCTCCTGACTAGCTGGAATTACAGGTGAGCACCATTGCGCCAGCTCCCCAGTGACGAATGATCATGAAACACATTTTTTTCATGTTCTTATTTGCTATCTTCTTTGGAGAACTGTCTATCCAAATCCTTTGCCTATTTTTCAGGGTAAAGGCGGAACACTGGGGATGAACCTAGGGGCACTCTACCCTTGAGCTACTCCCCCAGATCCCACATTTTATTTGGAGGCAGGGTCTCACTAAGTTGCTGAGGCTTGTCTGGAACTTGTGACCCCCTTTCCTCATCATTCCCTTGTACCTTTCCTATGTCACTCACACAGGCTAGAAGGAAATGGCTTCATGACTTTAATTTTTTCATACTTTTAATGATGTATCACCGTCTCTGATGAGCTTTTCCTTCTTGGCCTTTTCTTCCCAGAGGTAGATGTGCCTGATCATGAGGCCACCATCCTGTTTGGCTTTGGCCACCAGCCTCACACAGTTCACTTGGTGTCCCATGCTTTTCGGAACTATCTCCTGAGACAGCTGCCCCTCCACCAGATGGCCCAGCACGAAAAATGAGGCACAGTACTGAGGCATCCCCTCAGGGTCGTAGCCCAGCTCCACCTGCCCCTTCTTCAGGGTGTACTTTCCCTCCATGATGGAGCCTGTCATCACCTGCACTTTTCTCAGGTTCGATGGATGGTTCAAGATCACGGTCAAGTGGTCCCCTACATTAACATCGTGCGTCCAGAAGTAGGACTCATCCAGAGTGTAGGCCTCCCAGGGGAAGTGGACATTAGAAACTGTCATATCTGTGAAAACGGCAGCAGGGGGGTTGTCGGGACCAAAAGGGTCGGTTTCCCGATCGAGCGTGGCCTTTTGGTTGTCATCAAAGGTGGGGTGGGACATCCTGTAATAGAAGAGAAATGGTCTGCAGATGATTGATTTCTCCTGGACCATAAGGGTGCGGAAATGAAGGAGCAGTTTGTCAAGGGGTTTCTCCTGGTGGAAGAGGAGCAGGAAATGGGCCAGCAGTGGGAGGTCCTTGCTGTGGAAGAGTTTGCCAAGGAAGCCTATGTCCGAGAACTCCAGTATCACCTGGACTTGACTTCATGGAGGCCACCTGTGAATGGATTTGGGTGACAAAGTTGGGGGAACAAAAGACATTGTCCTCGATTAACAGGAAGTAAGTAGAGAGATTTGTGGCAAAGCTCATGAGGAAGGCATGATCCACATTCTGCTTGGAGTACAATTCCTCACGACTGGCCTCATTCTGGGTGCCATTCACAGAGGGATAGACATCAGATGGAGCGTGGATCAGTAGCAACTGCCCGGCCAAGATCTGTGGACTGAAGAGTCTTGAAATTTGGGCAATGGTTTCTTTGAGCCAGAGGAGGTCAGAATCTGCCAGGTGGACCAGTACAGTGAGGTGTTTCTCCTCCTCTGGAGAGGAGGCTTGGTACAGGGAGACCAATGTGTACAGGAGGCCATTAGGAGTCCATTGTGATGCTGAGGAGATCCCCACTGTGAGCCATGCTAAGGAGAGGTAAAATAGGGACAATTATCAGTGTACAAGTGGTAGTGAGGGTTGTCAAAAGAAGTGACCCGGCTATCCCTCTCCTCTATCTATACCCAAAGGACTTAAAAACAGCATACTACAGGGACACAGCCACATCAATATTTATAGCAGTACAATTCACAATAGCTAAATTGTGGAACCAACCTAGATGCCCTTCAATAGATGAATGGATAAAAAAAAATGTGGCATTTATACATAATGGAATATTACTCAGCAGTAAAAGAGAATAAAATCATGGCATTTGCAGGTAAATGGATGGAGTTAGAGAAGATAATGCTAAGTGAAGTTAGCCAATCCCAAATAACCAAATGCCAAATGTTTTCTCTGATATAAGGAGGCTGATTCATAGTGGGATAGGGAGAGGGAGCATGGGAGCAATAGAGGAACTCTATTGCTCATGAGAAAGGGGTAGGAGGGGAAAGAAGGGGGCATGGGGTCATTAATGAGGGTGAAATGTGATGGACATTATTATCCAAAGTACATGTATAAAGACACGAATTGGTGTGAATATACTTTATATACAACCAGATATGAAAAATTGAGCTCTAGGGCTGGGGATGTAGCTCAAGCGGTAGCGCGCTCGCCTGGCATGCATGCGGCCTGGGTTCGATCCTCAGCACCACATACAAACAAAGATGTTATGTCTGCCGAAAACTTAAAAATAAATATTAAAAAAAAAAATTCTCTCTCTCTCTCTCAAAAAAAATTGAGCTCTATATATAATAAGAATTATAATGCATTCTGCTGTTATATATAAATAATAAATAAATAATAAATAAATAAATAAATAAAGTGCAGATGGGGATGTCATTGAGGACCTTCTCTCTTCTCTATCCTATTTCTCATCTTTTTTTTCCTTTGGTAGAGGTGATGTTTATATCATGACTACTCAAAGTGCGGTTCTTAGTCCAGAAATGTGGGCCTCATCTACAAGTTTATTAGACACACAGAATCTTATTTATATACTTATTTTGTAGTTCAAGGGATTGAACCCAGGGGTACTCTACCACTGACCTACATTCCCAGTCTTTTTTGTTGTTGTTGTTACTGGGGATCAAACCCAGGGGCATGCAACCACTGAGCCACATCCCCAGCCCTTTTTTGTATTTTATTTAGAGACAGGGTCTCCCTGAGTTGCTTAGGGCCTCACTAAGTTGCTGAGGCTGGATTTGAACTCAAGATTCTCCTGCCTCAGCCTCCTGAGCCTCTGGGATTACAGGCATGTGTCACTGTGCCTGGCTCCCTAGTCCTTTTAATCTTTTGAGACAGGGTCTCACTGACTTGCCCAAGCAGGCATTGAACTTGCAATCCTGCCTCAGCCTCTGGAGTAGCTGGGATTACAGGCAAGCACCATCGTGCCAAGCTAGACATCCAGAATCTTGCCCTTTACCTCAGAATTTGCATTTTAACAATAACACCAGGGCTGGGGCTGGGGCTCAGTGGTAGCGCACTTGCCTGGCATATGTGAGGCACTGGGTTCGATTCTCAGCACCATGTATAAATAAATAAAGGTCTATCATCAATTAAAAAAAATTTAAAAAATATTTTTAAAAAATAATACAACCAGATGACATATACACATGAGAGTACTAAGCTAAGTGATGCTAAGTCCCTAAGGGTTCCTCTGAATCATTAAACCTTAAAGTTTGAGACATATGGTTTATGTGCTCAATAAATAATAGATATTATTATAGTTATTATGATTTGTTTTGTTTTTTTACCCAGTTCATCTTCTCAAAAGTCTCATTTGAAGACAGTGTATTAGAAAAAGGATTTTCTCTAGAAATCAGGAGCCCAAAGTTCTTGTCCCAGTTGTGCCACCGACTGTGGTCTTCAACAAGTCCTTTCACCTGTATGTTTAGTTCTAAATCCATAAAGCCAAGGGACTTGGACTATGTGATTCTTAGACACACACTAGCCCCCTCCTCCTTTTTCATGGTACTGGGATTGAACCCAGGGACACTCTACCATTAAGCTATAACCCCCATCCCTTTTTTTGCTTTTTATTTTGAGATAGCATCTTGCTAACATGGGCAAGTTGACCTTGAACTTGTGATCCTCCTGCCTCAGCCTCCTGAGTTGCAGGGATTATAGGCATGTGCCACTATGCCAGGTTAAGACCCCTTCTGATCCAAATGTTCTCTTATCCAATGATTGCACCACCTTCTTATAAATATTTTATCTTTTTCTCTCCAGTGATTCCAACTTTTTTTCACAGTTATGAATTTTATTATTTTTCTACCTAAGCATATAGATAACCTCAACCTCAATTCATTTCTTTTTAATACTTCATACTTTTTTTTTTTTTTTGGTACTGGGATTGAACCAAGGGGTGCTTTACCACTGAGTTACAACCCTGGCCTTTTTATTTTTCATTTTGAGACAGTCTCACTAGGTTGTTTAGAGCTTCACTAAATTGCTAAGACTAGTCTTAAACTTGCGATCCTCCTGCCTCAGCCTCTGGAGTTTCTGGAATTACAGCCATGCACCACTGCATAGAGCCACATAGTCATTCATTCCTAGGTTATCAGTCATAATTGCAAACTCAAATATTAAGTTCCATAAAATAAGGAGACTCATGCTCCTCGATGTTTACCTAATATAAACAGGTACACTCTTGAAGATGAGAGTAAATACAGTGTAATGTTCAGTAATGTTTTATGTGATTGACATATTTATTCTATATTTATTTATCTTTTCCTTCTTCTCATACTCCTGATAGGTAAATGCCTTGGGGAGTGGGGAGAGAATTGTCTGCCAGATTGAAATACTCCTGCCTTTTCTCCTCCTCTCACTTCCTTCCTCCCTACCTCCCCTACGTTCCTACTTCCTGGTACCATCCTTCCCCTCCTCAACACTCACTCTTTCTTTTGCGCTGGATTTTTTCCAGATATTTGAAGGTGATGGTTTGCCAGTCTTCTAGTGGTCTCTGGGTCTTACGGCTGCTACTGGTCTCCTGGGGCATCGACAAAGGCAAAGCATACACCTCTTTTCTTTAAGAAAAGAAAATGTACCCCCCTTCCAGGGGTGACCCATAAGCTTTTCTAGGGAAAGTGGTGGAGTGGGCCACCTTCTCCAGCATATTTTCGGGATGTCCCAGTCATGAGTCAAAGGATACAGGGCCCAAGCGGTTTTCATTCCCTCTTTAAAAAATACATGCAGCTTCTTTAGGAACTAATGGGCCCAGATCCATACCCCAATTCTCTTTGGAGCTCCCTGTTCTCTGGTGGAAAGGTATAGGGAAAAGGAAAGCCCAGGTGCTTTGGGGAATCTGCTTGTCCTTGTTGACAGCCACAGTTTAGTCAGAATGACCCTGGCATTTTGCTAGAGGGAATGATTGAAAGGTGACCCTGCTCTCAGGATTAGGGCGGATCCTGCTGGGATTAGGGCGGATCCTGCTGCCTCGGTCCCCGCCCGCTACTTTGGAGTTCTGGTTGAGTTCTCCTTTTTTTTTTTTTTTTGTCTATTATTCATTTTTTTCTTTTTTTTTTTTTTATTTTTTATTTTATTTTTTTTATTGTTGGTTGTTCTAAACATTACATAGTTCTTGATATATCATCTTTCACACTTTGCTTCAAGTGGGTTATGAACTCCCATTTTTAGCCCATATACAGATTGCAGAATCACATCAATTACACATCCATTGATTTACATATTGCCATACTAGTGACTGTCATGTTCTGCTACCTTTCCTATCCTCTACTATCCCCCCTCCCCTCCCCTCCCCACCCCTCTTCTCTCTCTACCCCCTCTATTGACCTTCATTTCTCCCCCTTGTATTATTTTTCCCTTTCCCCTCATTTCCTCTTGTATGTTCTTTTGTATAACCCTGAGGGTCTCCTTCCATTTCCATGCAATTTCCCTTTTCTCTCCCTTTCCCTCCCACCTCTCATCTCTGTTTAATGTTAATCTTCTTCTCATGCTCTTCGCCCTTGAGTTGTTGAGTTCTCGAGGGAGCCCGGAGCCTGGTGGAGGGAGTGTGTTCCCGGGAAGTGTGGGTAGAGTGCCAGTGAGAGTTTGGGAATAAAGAGTTGCTGTTTGAACCTACAAGGCTTTATGGCGGCTCGGTTATTGTGTGCCCAGCCAGACTGCGGCAGTCCTCACTATTGCCAAACTACATCCCCAATTCCCAAACTGAGAGCAAGGGTTGCTACTTGGCCCTTAATAGTCACCATCTTTTGGTCATCTTCAATTTCCCTAGGGATTTTCAAAATGAAGAAGAGCCACAGGATCCCCACTGAGGTTAGGAAGCATCGCCTGGTGGAGCCCAACATTGTACCTGCTGCGTTGGGATGTGGGTCCTGTAACAAAAAGTCCACATGTTAAAAAAAAAAAAAAATGTCAACATGTAAAACTGGAGGACTCTTCCCCTCCTGCCCATGCCTAGATCTTCCCTTCTATCCTTCCAGAAGGCTCCTGGCTTGTCTGCCCTACCCCCCAAATTCTGGCCTACCTCATGATCATCCTTAACTTCTGTCCAAATGCACTCTCTTATCTGATCTAGAAATCTACATGGAGAGAATACAGCTTTATTTGCTGCCTCATGAAGGAAGATCACACAGGGCTTGGTGGGGCACACCTGTAATCCCAGCGACTTAGGAGGATCCCAAGTTTAAGGCCAGTCTCAGCAACTTAGTGAGACCCTGTCTCAAAATAAAAAATAAAAAGGGCTGGAGATGTGTCTCAGTGGTAGAGTGCCCTGAATTCAATCTCCAATATTGAAAGAAAAAATAATACAACAGGAAAGGTGACCTGTCCTGTGATGATGTTTGCTTTGCTAACTTCACTTCATCCATTTGTTGGGAGATGATAAAGGCTTTCTGGGTCTTTACAGATGTGGCACTGAAGCCCAGACAACACTTTTTAAAACAAAAATAAAACTATTTATTAAAATAGTTAAAATTGAAGTGTTGCTCAATCCTATGCCAAAATAGTGCTTTTCTTGCTTTATTTTTAAGAAAAAAGACACCCTTAATTAAATCCAATCTTTAATCTTCCAGAACTTGATTAAAACTTGATTCTGTTAACTTAGAGTAAAAAAATTTTTTCATGAGCCTTGGGTTATTCAGGCCACCTCAGCCTCAAAAGTACTTCTATGCTGCCCTCTTCCTCTTTAGTGTCTTTTCTGAAGTGAGAATGTGTTTCTCTGATGGCTTCTGGATTATCAGAGGAAAGGCTTTAATATACCTCATCACCCCTCTCATTTTTTTCCCCTGCATGCTCAATACACAAAAGAAACTGTAATCAGTGATTTCTATGCCCCACAGACCATACTATTCTCTGATGTCCCCCATTTTGAGGGAAGCCTCCCACTTTAGTATTTTGGTGGAGGTTAACAAGTTTCTCTCCTTTAACCATGTAGTTTTTTTTTTTTTTTTTTTTGAGAATTTTTTAATATTTACTTTTTAGTTTTCAGCGGACACAACATCTTTGTTTGTATGTGGTGCTGAGGATCGAACCCAGGCCGCACGCATGCCAGGCGAGCGCGCTACCGCTTGAGCCACATCCCCAGCCCCTAACCATGTAGTTTTTAAATTAGAGTTATAAAATAGTACTTACAGAGTGATGAGCTATAAAAATAATACATGTAGTCGTAGGCTTTACAGAAAGCTGTTCTTACCTGAATTCCTTTAGTAAAGACTTTTTGTAGCCCAGGTGACTCAGATACAAACTTTCATGGGAAAGAACGGGACTTCTCTAGACCATGAACACATGCACAGAGAGAATAAGAAGGCTTTACAATGTCAGTTAAAGGATTTCACCCCCACAGACATAGCTGTGTCCCCCTTCTGTCCTGCTTGCCATGTTGACCAGTCACATGGGAGGATTGCTCTCACTGGGCCCCACGGGGATAACAGACTTCTGGAAGGTGGAGTAGAGAAAGAATAAGAGGAGCAGGGGTGATGAGGGTCAGTCACTGTGAGTAAAGAACAGAGGGTGAGGCTGAGCACAGCCATCTGGGGTCTCCACAGGTTTCCACCCCTGAGCTCAGCTCCCTCTGTGATGCTACTCTTGTGTCCCTGCCACCTACTCCCTAGCATCACAGGGACGCATGCACAGGACTTACATGTGAGAAGATTATCCTTCATAATTGGGAGCTATTCGTTTGCTTTCACGGTCAAGATCAGCTGCAGTAGGACTGTATCTTTTTGCGGGGAGGGGATTGAACTCAGGGGCAAGCGACCACTGAGCCACCTCCCCAGCCCTATTTTGTATTTTATTTAGAGACAGGGTCTCACTGAGTTGCTTAGTGCCTCACTTTTGCTGAGGCTGGTTTGATCCTCCTGCCTCAGCCTCCCAAGGCCCTGGGATTACAGACGTGCACCACCATGCCCGGCTAGTACTGTATCTTTCAACAGAGAAAATAGGAGAGAGACTCGCCAACGCTGCCCTCCCCATGTCCTCTGTTTCCTTGCTGCTCTGCCATATTCCCTCCTTCTCTGCCATTGGCTCCACAGACATATTGGCCTGGACTTCCAATCCCTCAACCTCAAGCTCTTTGCATTTATCCTTTCTCTTTTGGATGACCCCTTTGTCCGCTCTAGTGAACCACTCCCACCACTATGGAAAGAAGATTTATCTCCCAATGGGGGGCAGGGGAGACAAAAAGCAAAATGCCTCCCTGAATTCATGTTCTCAAGTTCTGTCCCATGGCTCTGAAACTCTATTCCTAAAAGCCCTTGAAAGTGTTGCCTTTCTTGATTTGCCCACTTCCTTTCACCTTCTGTCTCATCCCACGCAACCTCCCTGCAGCCTTGACATGCTGACCACTGCCTCCGCCTTGAAACATTTTCTCTCTTCACCCACTCTTGCTGCACTGGACCTTTCTTCCCAGTTTCCTTTCTGCCTCATCCTCTTTCGAACCTGCCAGTGTAGACGGGTCCCAGGGCTCTGTCCTTGGCTCTCTTCATACACACTCTCCCTGGGCGATTTTACCCAGGTGCCATATAAGTGTCTGTAGCTCAGTGGCTGTCTGTGTATATCAGGTAACTCCCAAAACTTTTTTTTAATTAATTGATTTATTTTAATTAGGTATATATGACAGCAGAATGCATTCTAATTCATCATACACAATTGCATCACAACTTTACTTTTCTATGGTTGTACATGATGTAGCGTCACACTACACATGCAGTCACACATGTACCTAGGGTAATGGTGTCCATCTCACTCGACCCTTTTTAATATTTTATTAGAGACAAGGTCTTGCTGAGTTGCCTAGGGCCTCGCTAAGTTGCTGAGGCTGGCTTTGAACTTGTGATTCTTCTGCCTCAGCCTCCCTAGTTGCTGGGATTACAGGTGTGCACCACCGTGCCTGGCATTCTCAACTGTTATCTCCAGCCCTGACTCCTATTGTGACCCCCATTCTGAGCTCCAATTTGATTATCCATTTGTGTGAATAAAAAGAATAATACTAACAATAATAATAAAATAATAAACATTTGTATGAGTAAGAGGTATTTCAACATTTTTTTTGTGTGTATAAACTTGGAATCAAAGAGGTATCTCAAGTTTAACAAAACCAAAATAAAACTATAGATTCTGCTTACTTCCTGAGTCATTGACCCAGTTTCCCTCTTTTTAGTAAACAGCACCACCATGTACCTGATTACTCAGAAAAAAAAAAAGTCTAGGAGTTATCCTTAATGCCTCTCTCTTCTTAGCATCCCATATTCAATCTATTTAGACCTGTTACCATTTTCCCAAAATTTGACCCTTTCAGCATCACCTCCTGCCTGGGCTATTGCAACCACTTTCTAATTGGTCTCTCACCTCCACCCTTGTTCTCTTGTAATCCATCCTGTACACGACTGATGGTCTGAGATCTTTAAAAATTTGAAATCAGCAGGCTCAGTGGCATCTAAAATATAAGCCCCTGAAGCATAGGGACTTTGTTTTATTCAACGCTATAACTAGCACTTGGAATTATACTGGTCATAGTACAATCATGCTCAACAGTTCTTA